GCACATTATTTATGATCACCCTTACAGTCATCGGACACAAACTGCAGAATTACGACAGTTAGCTCAGCAGTATTCAAATAAACGCATTATTGTTGGAGCTATTTGTGGAAGAGAGTCAACAACGTTGACACTGGCTGCCATGGGTCCAGCTGATATTCTGACTTTAGACACCCCATTGGATAAGTTATTCAAATACAAGAATGTGTATTAGTATTTGACACCTAAAGGATCATTTGGATTCTCAGCAACATCAAAGACGGGTCGAGTCGCTGGTGTAGACATAGAAAAGAGCGACGGTGGGAAACGTTTGTCTTGGAGACTTGATCGTGGTGGTGGTGGTTATCGAGCAGAAGGTGCAGTAGATTTGCTTTCTGTCAATGAGTGGCATAAAATTATACTTGCTGAAAAGTAGCTCTCTTGTTCACCAGTTGGACATATATATGCGCAATGTCACAATTTTAAAATCATAAACAAAACTGTTTGCGTTTCTTGAGAATGTAAAGCGTTCAGAAGGACGATATACTACGTTCTGCAGGATAAACTACAATGGTTGGCATACTGTTAGCGTAATGTGATGATGTACAACAGTTAAACTGTCCGGTGGCTCAGTCTCATGCTGCTACTTACTCCGTTCCTTTCTTTTCTGCTGGTTTGTAATGCTTAGATTTCGATCTCAATCTATTAGGATCGATAGTTTCTGAGTGTATGTACAGTGAGTAGAACAAGGGAGCGAAGATATTACTGTATTACATGCTAACATCCGGTGTATTTTGCTAATAGATCGACGCAACTCTAGGTATCTGTTTTTGTGGAATCGCCTATTGCTGAGAGTCTAATACTTAGATCATTCGCCGTTTTTTGTAGCTCGCAGGCTCCATCGATGATGCAGTTGGGCCATTTCACATACCTCGCCCAAATACGTGATTAAGGCGACAGAGTCAAGAGGCTTGTTGAGTTTCGCTCCCACTCGTTTCGTACAGACTATAGGCCAGAGGATGCAACGTACCGAGCTGGTGACAGTTGTATTTTGTAAGTTGTATCATTTCACCGGCTTGCCTGGAATGTCCTGCTTTGGGCGAAATGTGAGTTATCGTTCTCGAGTTATCAGAACATCATCGAAAATCCGCTGTTTTTCTTGAAGTATACAAGATACTATAGTACATTTCACAAAATGTTTCTCCATTCTAGTATACATACAAGATACCAGTAAGACGAAGCTGTTTTTTTAGATTTTCCTTGACATCTTTCCATCTGTTAACAACTAACGAAATTTTCCCTAACGTGTGTTCTTTTGAGCACATAGTTTGCATCGTTGAGCCTGATGGTGGAGTTGAAAGTCTCGACTTACATTCTTCATCGATAGGTGGGGAAGTTTCAGTTTTCACTGAAGACGGTGAATGTTCGAGATTCTAACGAGGGAACCGCCACAGGTGTCCGGCTCCGATTTCGTTCGTTCATACATCATTCGATAGAGGACCTCTAGTAGGCTAAAAGGATTTGGGCGGAGGGCCCTTTAAGACCCGGTTTTCTGGAAAACCAGTTTTTCAGAAACTCTAAAAAGATAACCAGCACCTTTCTTGATGAGGCAGAATTGTAGCCCGCGAAATTCTG